CAGGGAAACTGTTCAACCCACCGTGCCTTTGCTTCCCTTGGCCAGGGATGTCCTTGCAGCTCTTGGGGTGTCAAGTGGGATCTTTCTAGGCCCGCTCAGAAGCAATTCAAGGGTCTCCCTGGGACAGGGGATGTAGGAAAGGTTTTTCTCGGGTCACCCTGAGAGCTGCTGGCAGCCCCCAGGCCACGGCTGGTGCGGGATGTGCCGCAGGGATCCCCATGCAGCTGCCTTGGCCATGAAGCAGCCGAAAGGGCTGGTTGCAGGTGCTGTGATCAGAGAGAAAACAGCAGCCATATGAAAAGGGGCTGTTTCTGGACAGAGATGATTAAACCCACACTCTCCCCCTTCACTGCGCCTGCGTGTCCTTGTCAGCAGAGCAGAGTCCTGCTGCTCTCAGGCTCTCCTTGTCTCCAGGAAAACATCTCTCCAGCTTGACCACAATGACTCGCAAGCATGTGACAAGCCGTGGGACAGGGACAACACCGCCCAGAAGCTCAGTCTTTTCACTGGGCCTTTTTCAAAGCAAGATATTGCAGCACAGGGATCTCTCTGAGCTGCTTTGCTCTGAAATTTGCCCTTGAGCAGCCAGGAACAGACCCCTTCCCTACAGACACCTCCACAAAACACATGTTGGCTTTAGGGGTAGCTCCAAAATAATTTATTTAAATGCCATTTTTTGGGTGGATTCAATGCATTTTTTTAGATTCAGCTGAAAAAAAAAAAAGGGGTTTTGTGTGTTGCCAGACTCATTATTCAGGCTCTTTGCTATTTTAACCTAAGACTTACAGTAATGTCTGGCATCCAAGGAGTGCTTTTGTATTTCAAAGCTCTTTGCAAACTCTCTGAATCCAGGTGTGTCAGCTCAGACTAAGCAGCTGTCAAAATCCGGGGGCCTGATTCTGCACTGGCAATCTTTTTGCTTCCCCTCCTATACCTCCTGGGGGAAAGAGAACATCAGGAGTGATGGAGAAGGTAACAGTTTTGGAAATCTGGAAAGCTGATGGATCTGGAGTGGAGGAAAGAGTGATGGAGAAACCCCACGGACGCAGCACAGCCTGCAGTGCCTGTGCTAGGTTGCATTGTCTGCCCTTGGCACGGCATTAACATTTGGTGTGGCTTTGCCTGGAAGCTAATAGAAACTCTCCCTGGGTTTTATCCCCTGACGGGATCCATAAAGTTTTGCAGTCCCACATCTGTGACTGCGATACGTGTGTGTGGGTGTGGGAGCGAATGTGTGTGACGGTCAGGACAGGCTGTGGTTTTAGCTCTGGCATCCCGGGCTTAATCGGTGTCTGCAAAGGAGGGAGGGTCCCGAGCCCCCGCTGCTGCTCACCCCTGCTCGCCTGGGTGCCCTCAGCCCCTTGTGCCGCCGAGAGTGGGCAGCGGCAGGGCTGAGCCACCCGGATGCTTGCATCCCCCAGCGCAGTCTCAGAGCATGGGGCGTTAGCAATAAACCATCGCGAGGGCATTAGGGAAAGGGGGATGCTTGGGGAGCGACGGCCGCGTGCTCGAAGGGCTCCTGCTCTCCCGGCGAGGGCTAATGCAGGTGCTGGAGCTGCTGAACCTGCCCTGCTCCCCCCGCATGCCTGGCCAGCCCGGCTGTGATCTCTTTAGGGACGAGTGCTTTTCAAAAAGGGCTGATTACTAAATTACAGATGGGGAAACCGAGGCACAGCAAGGAGTCTGGGGACATGGGGAGGCTATGGGTGAGCTGCAGCCCAGGGCTCCCAGCTGTGCTGGCCAGCGTGCCTGCTTGGGAGTGACCCAGCTGATACCAGAGCCCCAAACATGCCGGTCAAGGCTCCAGCTCCAGCTCCAAAGGGTTAAGGCGGCGGCTGCGAGATGGAGCCTGCAGCAGCCCCTGAGCTCTGGAGGAGGAAGATGAGCATGGCGAGGAGACTGTGCTTCCTCCGGTGCGAGGGTCCCCCACCGAGGAAACCGTCAATTAACGACATAGTTTTAACCACAGAACACAGATTCCCATGATCTGGTGGCTGCTCAACCAGAAGTCCCCATTATTCGTGTTTGTGTCCCCTGGGAGCCTAGAGGCCCTGCGAGATGAGGGACCCTCTGAGCTGCTGGCAGGACCGCAGGGGTTTGATATGGCTTTGAGCACCAGCAGCAGCTACGAGGGCTGAGAACCTGATGCCCAGCTCTGTGCCTCAGTTTCCCCATCTGCAAAGCATGGAAAGGCTGGGATGGAGGAGGAGGTTGCTGGGCAGGGGCTGAAGGAGGGGGACATAGGGAGCCAGACTGGGTTCCTTCGGGATACCGGTGCTGCAGCCCTCCCCATCGCTGCCTTTTTTGTGGGCATTGCTGCTTCCTTGCCTCCGCCCTCGGGGCACAGGATCAGGCTCCAGATTCATTTTGACCCTGTACGTCCAGAGGTGCTGCAAACCCTTTCCACAGGGGAAAAAGTCATTCCCTGCCCTCAGCAGCTCTGAAGGGATGGAGAGGGGATGGAGCAGGAAAGCATAGAGAGACCCTCCGCCACCAGACACAGGCAACTGTCGCAACCCCAACAGAAATGCACCTGTGAACAGATCTGCCTGCTTTTACTGGTCTGCACAGCAGGGTGGCACCAAAGGGGGGCCCACGGCCGTGCATCCCCCTTCCCTCTCCCCGGCCACCCTTATGCACATCGCTTTCTGCCTCAGTTTCCCTAGCAAGGCAATGAGCAACACCAGCCCCGTACCGATAAAGCTCGGCAGCTGGCTGGGGGCAGCTCTCAGCCTCTGGCCCCCAAAGTGAGCCGGGCAGGTCAGCTCACACCGCACCGACGGTCGCCCCCAGCCCCGACCTCTGGAGCTGCTGAATCATGTCTTGGGAAGCAGCTGCCGCCCGCGCCGCCCGGGCTCCCGGCGGCCTCCACGCATGACCCACTTCTCCCGGTGGCTGATGCCAGCTGGGAAACGCAGCCGGGAGAGCGGCGGCCGCCGGAGCTCCCAACCCCAGCCAAGGCTGCCCTGCTTTCACCAGGCACACTCTTCCCCGGGGAGCCTGGGTTGAGCTCGTCGGAGCTCATAGGGGGAGCAGGGCTCAGGGCAGCAGCATGAAGCCCTCTTTGGGGATGGGGTTCAGCGCCGGGGGGGGCAGCTCGGCCACCAGAGCAGTGGCACAGGGATGCAGGCAAGTGTGCTGCTCCAACCGGTGCTGCTGGAGGGAATGGCAGCTCTCCTAAGTTACACTGTCATCCCCGGGGACACGCACTGAAAGTCCAGACCTCACTTTAAGCATCCCAGGGAAGCTCTGACTGAAGGAGTGTGTGGTGGGTTTAGCTGGGATGTGCCAGGGCACACGCCATGGCCGAGCATGTAAAGGGTCCCAAGGAGCCAGGGTTTACCCTAGGAGCCAGCTCAGTCCTGCCCTGTTGGCACAGTGGGGGGAAACCCCTCACCACGGTGCCACAGCTCTCCCTGGGTGAAAAAACGAACCAGAAACTTCTACTGGGGAAGTTTGAGTCGGGACCAGAGCTCAACCACATGGTCCTCACTGCCCCTAGTCCCCAGCCCTGCTCTGAGCCCCATGACTGCACACAGGGACACCAAAAGCAGTGAGCTGCCCTGGGTGAATCCCCCATGGCATTGCCATGAGTCTCTCAGCGCCAGCCGTGGGCACCCGGCCACCCTCCCTGTGCTCGCAAGCAGGAGGTCAACCGGCTGCACTTGTGGACGGGGCCATGGCATGGCCATGGTGCCAGGCACGGAGCTGGCCATGCACGGCTGCTGGCCAAGCCCTGTGCCTTTCATGGGAAAGGGGCAATTTTACATTCCCCAAACCCAGTGCAGGTGAGTTTGGTGTCCCCAGCTGCCGGGGCTGATGCACCTCTAGATCGCCCTGATCAGCCGCACGGAGCAGGGGGCTGTGGGGGAACAGGCTCAGCCATCAACTGGCTCTGGGAGAAGGAAATGTTTTGAGGAGGAGGCAGAGAGGGGACTCAAATGTCATTTTGGATTCTCTGCAGAGGGGTCTTGATAGGAAAATCCCATTGCAGTGCTGGCAGTGAGCCTGGAGGGAAATCATCTCTGCTCACCGGCACGTCCAGGGAGCCTCTGCTCTCTGCAGATCCCGTGGGCTTGGGGCGTTAGCTCTCAGCCTCTTGGAAAACTTTTGGATGATTATTAATAAACAGCGCATCTATCCCAGGGGTTTTCTGAGCACCCACAGTCCCCTGCTGCAGGAACAAAACGTGAAGGGCACAACCCAGTCTCCTGTCTCCTCTCTGAGGTGCCTGGGGCTCGGGCAAGGTGGGAGCCTGGTCAGGGCGCCCTGAGTTGCTGCTCCCCGGGATGGGTGGTGGGAGCTTTGTCTCTCTGGAGAACATCTTTGCCTTCTGCCAACAGGTCAGTGCAGGCATCTTGCCTGCCCCTCTCCTTGCCCTGTCCATCCTCCTCTCCCCTCTTAAATAAGGGAAACAGCCTGCTGCTGCTGCACCCCACTGATAACCCAAACTCCCGGTGTCTGCAGGACCCTGTGGGATTCCTGCTTGGCACTTTCCCGGGGTACCTGGACAAGGGTTGCACCCCCAGACAATGCAAGAGAACCCACCTGCCTCTGTTCCCCATTTCAGGAACATCTCCCCTGTTTTGGTTTCAGATGCAGACACGGGGCTTGTGAGCTGTCACACAGCCCCACGTCACCAGGCGATGCTCCGCACCCCACTCCCAGGGCAGCAAGCCCGGCACCGCTCTCTCCCGTCCTCCGCCGCCCCCCAGCTCTGTCCGTAAGCTAAGGTGACCTTTGTGAGGGAAGCAGCTTCCAAAAGTCCCCGGCAAGGCTCCCCCCGCTCCCCCCGCTGCCGCCACCCGGCTCAAAGGTGTGGAAATCAGAGGAGTGCTGTGAAACCCTCCCTGCTCCCAGCCAGCGAATACACCCAGCCAGCTCCCCACTCACTGTCATTCATTCCAGTTCAGTTATATATATTGTTCTGCCTCTTTCTCAGCTATAAAGAGATTTAGTTGGCTTTGCTGCTTCCTTTTTTTGTTTGTTTTTTTAAATACCTGATGAGTATGGAGACCCCAATGTCCTCGCAGTTTGCATATACTCTGCTCCATGTCTCTTGAATAACCTTTTTTTCTGCGTCTGAAATCTCTTCACTTCTTTCCCATCTCTCAATCTCCATTTCTCCCTGGACTTTCTCCATGAAAAACAGCCGGCACGATCCTCCGGGAAGCCAGGAGGAGATAAAGAGAGATGTGTGTGAGCGGGTATATCCTGCGAGAAGAGACAAGGTGTTTGCTCAGCGGCCGTGCGGGTGCTGGCGGCTCTGCCGACGTGTGGATGTATATGTGTGTGTGCGAGCGCGGCTGCCTGTCAGCGTGTTTATATATGTAATTTAAAAAAATATCCTGGAGGTATGATGCATGCGATTAGATTTCAGATCTCCTAGTGCTGTCCATGGCTGTAGTTAGCTTCAGCTCGGCTCGGATGTGTGTGGCTGACTGATGGGGAACTGCCTAAAAGTAAAATATTCAAAGGCATTGCAAGACCAGCCTCTTTACCAATGTGTGAACGTGAGCTCACTTTCTCCCTCTCTCCTCCTCTCTCCCACTCCTCCCTCCTTCCTTTTTTTTTCTCCCCAAAAGGGAGGGATGAGGGAGATGTTCTGGGCAACATCAGGACGGTGCTGGTGGGGGGAGGTAGGGCTGGAAGTTTTTTTTTTTCAGCCCTTGTAAACAGCTCAGAGGAAATTCAGAATCCAAAGTGTCGAGTTAAAGTTATCACAACCGCTGGCTGCGCTGAGCTCTGCCTTGGCTTCCCCTTGCACTCCCTTATTTTGCAGGCGGTTGTGTTTTGAAGGACAGACCCTCTCTTGCCTCTGATTCTTGGGCTGCACGGAGAGTTGGGGTGAGAGGGGAGTGTGAGGCACCCCCACCTGCCAGCATCTATCTGCCACCCAGAGATCATGGTCTGTCCCATGGGGACTTTTTTAATGACGAGAATTTGCGCTCCCTTCTCATGGCAGGACTCACTTGTAAAGGGATCCAGAGTTAAGGCACTTGTGAAAGGAATATATTATTGTTGTTCTGCGATTGCATCGCTCCTGGTAGCGTCTTGGCAGGGATGAGGAGCGCGGGAACACCTCCACGCCAGGCTTCCCACTGCCTCCGTGTGTGTGTTTCTGGGCTGTTTTTTTACCCAAATGCCATTTCCACCTCCCTGACAATCCGGCATATTAAACCCGCAGCACAGTCCATTTGCACAGAGAGAAGGAAAATACTACAGAGACTTGTAATAACCGACAATCCCCCAGAGGGGGATCAGAGACAAGAGAAGCAGCCTGGTGTGCACAGCTGCCTCCCGCACCCGCTGTGCACCCTCGCAGGGCAGACAGACAGACAGACAGGCTGAGGGTGCAGCTCTGACACCCAGGCAGGCAAGGGCTGGGGGGTGGCTGAGCCCCTTTTGGGGGCTGGAGTTTTGTTATTGCAGATCTGTTGAGGCTTTTTGCTGTATTTCTCCTGCAAACCAGCCTCAGCCACCTCCCTGCTAAGAGCAGCCAGACTGGCAGTGTCAGCAAATTTGCTCTTGCAGATCTAATGAGAACTGATGGAGAAGGTGCTGCCCACAGGTCCCCCACTCATCGAGTTTGTGCTGGGACTGACCGGGAGCCCCACATGTCCGTGAACTCCTCGGCTCTGGGACACAAAGCTCAACTCACCTGGGAGCTGCCAAACCCACCAGTGTAAAAACAGCATAGCCAGCCTAACAGTTGGGAATCATTCAGGTCCCTGGTAACACTGCCATCGGCTTCCAAATCATCAGATTTTCACCCCCCAGCTTAAAGTTTGAATTTGCCTTCTGTCCATTAGCCACTGGGATTAGCACCTGTGAACCTGTGCTCTAGTATTAACTACAACGTCCCCAGGTGGCCACCACAGAGCAGAGAAACACCCCCTGAACCCAGGTTGGCATGGCCAAGCTTATTGCCCTTCCCTTAAAAACGCAGGGGAAGAGGCGCTGTGCTTAGACCCAGCTTAAAACCAGAGCGAAACTGCAATGCAGCGCTAGTGCTTTCAAAAAGGGAAAAAACTCAAATTCTGACAAATACAAATGCTCGGGTGGTAATCCAGGTGGAGCATTGGTTAAGTTATTACTTGCTGTGTGTTTACAGAAAAGGACTCTTCGAAGCTTTCGTACCTTGTGTCTTAGTCAATGCTGGGCTCATATCTGGTTACCTGGTGAGCCTGGCTGCTGCGGGCCATGGTCTTGGCTCAAGAGTCTCCGTTTAGAAATATTAGAATATTAGAAAAGTAAGTGAGAAATCCCTCAGTCTTTTCAAAGTTTCTGCCTCCCTCTTTGGGGACATCACATCTGGCCCTGGCAAGAGCCCAGCCCCGTTCCCACGTGCCATCTTGCTCTGCAAACAGGAGACGGTGAGTAAAGCGGCGGCAATGCTCCGCTGCCTCAAAACCCCAAATCAACCCCAACAGCCCTGAACTTCTGTGTCTTGTCCCAGATGTGGAACATAAATCAGGGGCAGGACCACGGGCACACACTGTCATGCGCCAGCTGCCCATTTCCATGGTTTCCCACAACTATTTCTCTTGAGGGCTAAGGGTTAGGAGGCGACTTGTTTCAGAAGGAGAAAGATGCTGCATTGACCCCATCGTTGCAAAATCCCAGCTGGGGATTGCACTGCAGGGAGGCAGCATCGCCCTGCAATGCCCTGCCAGCCCGTATGGCCTTGTAGTGACTCGGGTGATCCCCTGGTCCCTTTGGTGCAAGGTGCTGTGCAGAGGGAGGTGGCAGCCCCAAGGACTGGGATGGCATTTCCTCGCCCTGCCCAGCCCAAGCTGCCCGTGGCCACTGCCTGCTGTCCCAGAGGGCAGCTCAAGCACAGTGCCCGCTGCCGTGGCAGAGTGGTCCAGGGCCATGGGGCTCAGGAATGGGGAGAGAGGACTTGGTCCCCCTGGGCAGTGGGAAGGCTGAGATGGGATCAGCTTGGGTAATCCCTGTGGAAGAAATGTCTCTCAGATCCCAATTCATTTCAACACCCTGATCCCTCCCCCATCTCCAGCTGAGCATCGCAGCCCTCCTGCTTTCCACCTCCTTCCCACAGACCTGTCCCCGCGACAGGGTGGCACCACGGTGCCAGCCCTGCCAGCGGGGCCCCTTCCCTGCCAAGCCCGAGCCTGCTCCTCCTGCAGATCTGCACAGCAAGAGAGATCAAGTGCCAGTTCAAGCTGCCCTCCATTTGCACGGCCGCAGGGGGTGAGGATGGGTTTCCAGCCCTCCGAGTCTCTGCTCATGCTGCTCTGTGTTCCTGCGGGGTCTGTACCCACCTGCCGACGGCTTCTCCCACTCCCCCCGTGCCCTCCCACATTGCCTCTCCTCCTCCCCATGCGCTGGGTGCAATGAGAAATGTACTTGGCTCCCAATCCTCGAGTGGGAGGTGAAGGCAAAAAAACCTGAGACTTCAGCTCCACAGCGTGTGGGATGTAGATGATGGCAGATCCCCACCCTTGACTCCTCCACTGTCTCTGGGGCGAAGGCGGAAACCCCAAATCCAGACCCCCAGGGCTGAGCCCACCTTGCCTCGTGCATGGGGACAGTCTTGTTATTTGGTTCCTAGAGAAAAGCAGGTGACTTCTTGTGTCCCCTGCAAAGTCAGCTCCCTGGGACCTTCTGGCAAACACCATTAGTTGGGGTGGCCCCAGGAAAAGACCCCACGAGGTCCCTCAGGGAATGCTTTGGGAAGGAGCTGCAGGAGCTGCCCCAAGCCCTTGGTGCTGGTGTGATGGTGGGAGCCCAGCGACGAGCCCTCCCCCAGACCCTCGAGACACTGACCTGGCCAGAACAGTAGCAGCCCTGATATTTCAAGTGAAATAAAGGCAGAAGGCACCAGTATGGTAAAGCACAAGGCACCCAGAAGAGCAGCCCTGACTCTGCCCCTTTTCCCTCTGAGCTGGACAGGGTGGGAGGTGGGAGATGCTGACAGGTCTTGTTGCCATTTTTGCTCCCACCACCATGGCCGAGGGCTATTGCAGGACACACATGCCTGCCAGGTTGGGTGTTCCTCCTCTGTCCTCCTTCTGGAGCCGCTGCGGGCTGCTGCGCTATCTCACCCAGAGATGTTGGACTTGTCACCCTGAACACTGCTGAAACAAAGTCCCTGTTTGCCAGCCTGGCTCACCCAGCATTGCCCCCAGTGTGCAATGCCTCTCTCTCTCCCGCTTTCTAATCCAGCCCAGCTGCCAACTGCAAACTCCTGGCCTGAAAAGGAATAACAAGGCCTTAGGAAACGGCTTTGCAGTGCCTGCTACCCGAGGAGGGAAGGATTTAGCCTAAAGCCTGTATAAATGCTCTGTACTTATTGCAGGTTTCCTTCCCTCAGCTTCTCTGATCCCAGGAGACCCATGCGCAATCCCGATGCTCCAGCTCTGCACCGGCAGCGCCTGTGGCCCACTGCAGGGACAGGCTGGAGGACAACATGCCGGGGGAGTTAAAAGGGGCTACAGCCAACAGGACCCCCCCGGATCCAGCTGGGGTTGCATCACTGCCTGCCTCTCCATCATGTGGGGGTGGTGAGCCACTTAATCATGTAGCCATCATCAGCATCGCTGGCATGCTCGGTCGCTAATTTACTCATAAAGACCAGTAGCGTTGAGACGCTGGGATTCCCATGTCCTCAACACGGCTGGGAAGAGCTGGGTGAGGGAACTGACAGCGGGGGAGCTGCTGTGTCATCCCCCTGCCCTGGGCAGCCCCGGGGAAATAAAACCCAGGCTGCTTGTGCAGGGCAAAGCCGGGGGCAGACATTCCTCCTCTGATTGAAACCAGACCTCAGGCGGTGATGCTGGAGCGGGTGAGGAATGTGTTTAAACCAAACCAGCCCAGGCTCTCCTTCATACGTGGAAATAGGGTTCGTCTGCTCTGGGGTCGAAGTGTAAGAGATGCAGCTTTGTGCAGAGACCGAGGTCTGTGCTGCCACTGAAGCAAACCCCGCAGTGGGATCCTGCCCTCAGATCCCAGAGGGGACCCCAACCCCACCCCGACCTCCAGCATGCCACCCCCCTATGCCAGGGACACCAGGCTGGGGACAGGGACAGCAGCACTGCTGGGAGGTGCCCGGGCAGGGTGCACAGGATGAAGACACCCAGGCAGGACCCTTGGCAGCAGCAGGCAGAGGGGAGGTGGGTAGGTGAGATGGGGACAGCTCAGCCTCTTCGTGACCTTCTCAAATCTTGTGTCAGCTTTCCACCTCCCTCAGTAAAAAATCCCTGCCAACCCACAAAACCTTAAAAACCCCACGGTTAGGAAATCCAGGGGAACAAAAAGAAACAGAGAGGGGCCTTGGGAGTGAGGCTGGGTGCTGCCCAGTGTATTCACAGGCAGGGCAGGGCAGGGCAGGGCAGGGAAAAAAGCTGCCAAGGCAGCCCTGGAGAGCACCTCCCGCCCCAGCCCAACCTGGTCCCATCCTGGGAACTGTTGCAAAAACACCCAGTCCCACCCTGGGATTTGAGGAAACTGAAACCTTGTGATGCAACCAGGAGGGATGAAGCAAGAGGCGCTTGCTCAGCAAG